ACGGTGAGAGCGCCCCCCCCCCCCCCCACCAGGCAGCACTGGCCAGCACTGCACCAGGTCTCTGAGGCGGGCGGGAACCTGCCCGACCCACCGATAGGAGGTGCTCCGGAGCTCGCCGATGACCTGCGTGAGCTGCGAGTGGGTCCTGGAGGCGTAGAGGATCTTTGGGATGTCGGAGTAGCAAGCTGCCCAGGCACAGGGAGCACCGCCAGTCATGACTCCACGGTGGCACGGCGTTTGCCTTACCCAGGCATGCAGCTAACCGCCCTGCAGACTCCGGGTGCTGGCTCACCAGAAACGGGCCAGGAGCTGCCTGCCATGCCTAGCTTCCTGAGAACGCCCTGACCCCAGACTTAGGCCCAGGACGATGGGCAAGGGTGTGTCAGCTACAAAATGCTTGCTGAACTCTACTCAAGAGATGACAGAAGCCAGCTGGACTTGTCCTGTCCTCAGTTCTGTCCCTTCCCCACCACCCAGAGGGTCACCTATGGGGTCTCCATCCACAGCAACAGCATTCCCCCAGGACAAGGCCTGATCAGAGAAGAGCTCCCCTGGAACCCGCTCAGCGATCTTGCGGGCGGAGATGGAGTCTCGGAGGTGCTCCCGCCAGGCCAGTGTGGTGCAGAGGAGGCAGAGTGTCTTCCCCGTGCCCGTGGGGCTCTCCAGGAGGCCATGCACCTTCTGCATGGGGGCAGGGACAGGGAAAAGGTGAGGCACAACCCACAGGCGGGTGCACAGCTCACCATCAAGTGGCAAAACCCTGCAGACCCACGGACAGGTCCATGTAACATCTTCGCCCTTGCCCCAAAGCCAGCTGGCCAGCCCTCACCAGAAAGTGGCTCACAGAGCCTTAGTCAAGCGTGGTGGGTGGTTCCCCCCAACGTGGACAGCAAGGTGTCTAAGTGCCAGGTCTCAGAGCAGGGACGTCCTGCAGCTCCAGACCCGGGCGCTCACACTGCCCTGCGTGAGCAGAACCTGACGTCCTGCAGACAAGCTCTTGGTGGGAGTAGGAGTGGGAAACTCGCAGAGCACAGGAGGGAACCCCAGGAAGCCCCATGGGAAGCACGTGTCCCTTTTCCTCCCTGCACACGCTGAGGTTTCCAGACCTTCTAAAGTTAGGGCTGGACACCAGCAGCCCACCCCACAGAAACTTCTTCCAGCCCCTCTAACAGCAGCCATCCCTCACCCTTGAGCCTCAGCTCACATGTCACCTCCTCAGGGAGGCCACCAAGCAGAACTACCTGCCTTACTTGGCGTGGTCTCGCCTACCCCCCCTGGAACAGCACCCCTACCCTCCCAGAAGCGCAGCTCACCCTGACGCACCCCGGTGGACACCCCGGTGGCGCGCAGCGGTACCTTCTGCAGACATTCCAGGACCTTGGTCATGTACTGCTCCTGGCACTTGTAGGGCTGGAAAGGGAAGTCCACCACCACGCCGCCCAGGGTGATCCTGGGCATACTGGCTGTGCTCGGGCGGGCCAGGGGGCTCCCAGGAGGCGCTGCGGACGCGGGGAGAACGCGCCGTCTGGACAGCCTTTCGGGGAAGGAGCTGCGGAGGCGAGGCTGCCCGCGGCGCAGGG